CGTAGACGTTAGGTGGCATGAGTCCCTTTGACATGTTTCACCTTAAGGTGATAAAATTGTAAAATGCTAGGTCGATGCATGCTCATTTCCTACGAGTAGCATAATTACTCACCCCAAAGTTACTGGGGCATATTTCAGGTACAGGAATCAAGGTTGAGATTCTCATTATGCTCGGATCATTTGTGGACTTGAAGGTTCCATTCTTGTAAAGTTGGCTTGAAATGCCATCTGTAGCCTTATTTGTCAAATGTGTATATTTGATTCTAAACTTGAAATATGTGCCTAAACACACTTTTTGATTCTCATTTTATGTATATGATATAAGGCTAAGGGCCAAATTTCATTTGAAGTCCATGTTTATTCATAATGGTTGTATTTTATCTTTAATGAGAATATGTGAAAAGGCAAGCATTTTAGTATGTTATTTTGCACCGGAGTGTGCTTTATATATAAAATTCATTATCTAACATTCATTTAATATGTATGAGGTGTGGCCAAGGGCCAAACACCTTCTACCATTAGAAATGTTGAATCTTTCAATCCTAACAATTTCAACTCACGACACAATGCCCTAAAGGTGTTGGGGTACATCCGAAAATTTTCATAACACCTATCTTCATGTCCATTTAAGAGCTCGAATATGTAATCTTCCCCTTGTAACATGGAATCCCTACAACGTTGCTTATCAAAATGTTTATGATAGCACTCATACACGGCTGCGATCAATACAAGAATTTCCTCCTCATCATCATCATCATAAATGGTTAATATTGTCCTTATATCCATAGCTACTATCCTATTTAAGAATAAACAGAAGCAGTTATTGTAATCAAAATTAAGCAAAATGGAAAAGACATACCAAATCATACAATTATCCAGCAATAACGTAAAAGCAATAAATATAGAACATAAATAGTTTTCCAGCATTAATTTAAAAGCAGTAGATAGAGGAATTAAATACAGTCTTCCAACAATAATGTAAAAGCAGTAGATAAAAAAAATTCATTACAGTCATCCAACAGTAATATAAAAGCAGTTATAAAACAGTCATCCAAAAGCACATAAAAGTAGGATACCGAAGAAATCACAGAGGCTGATTCATCACCCACCCAACCTTCCTTTCATCAGGAATGCGAATAAATATGTCCCTCCACACCTTGTCATCACCAAACATCCTTATGATCTTAGCATAATGGGTATCATCAATCCCCACTAATGTGTTGACGATCTTAACGCACTCTTCAAGCTGGGGATCCATTTCTTTTTCTTTTTTACTAGGAGATGTCACTTCAGGCATTTCGGTAAATCGAGATGGTTAACAACTAGAAGATGATTCTGCTATGGCTTTTGCAATTTTATCAGCTTTCACGTTCCCAATATTAGTCAAACATTCCATCACTAAAGACATTGTTTCTGAAAAAGTTTCTTTCTTCTGTTTCTTAGTTACAGGTTTGGGAGTAGGACTGAGTTCAATAGGTCCTTCTACATTAGGTCGTTCTACATCAATCATGCCCACATTGCCCTCAGTGTTATGAATTTGAGCTTCATGTGTTGCCACTTGAGGCATTGTTAGCACTTGGTGAGGTCTGGGTGGCTTTGTAGAAGGATGAACATGCTTGCCAGTAGCATGTGTATTCCCAAAAATCCTTACCATCTACTCATAATTCTTACACCCCTGTTTTTTTATTTTTTTGCCATACTTGAGAACCTACACATTATTAGCTTACAATTATTGTTCATCAAACCCTTTTAATATTAAATCACTAATTACTAATTGTGTGTATAATAAATAGACACGTATTGAAATACTAACCTTGCACAATCAAACCCATCTTTCAGCTTCCAAATCAATCATCCCAGTTTCACTGTTGTACCCTACACCAGTCTCAGATAATTTTTGTTTGCAATCTTTGTACAGTGCTCTTATATTATTGAATTTTTGTCTAAATTGGTCCTTCGTGTACTTCTTTCCAGTTTCCAATAACATTGCGTCCACAATATGTGTCCACCCAATTGGATTAAAAGTCGTGCCTGTACGATTTACTTTTCCAACCTCTTCCTCCATCAAGAACATGAATTTCTCTTAATGGGCATCACACCAAACAGCGGCATCGTCCTGTTCAATAACTACAACATCCTCACCATTCTCATCATCAAGAGAATGAATGTCTCTTGATGGGTATTGCTCAACATTGTCATTGTTCATGTCCATCTGATTATTATTAAGTAATTGAACAGTTTAGTACATTGAATTGTATTTTGACTCATAATTCAACACGTCAATGATAAGTAAAGAAGGTACTGTCTATAAAACACTTCAATAAGGGGCAAAAAAGAAGAAAAAATGAAGTAAAAATGTGATAAAAATCAGTCTCCTTCCATTTTCTTCATTTTCTTCAATTCAAATTCTCACAATTTTCTTCATTTTCTTCAGTTCAAATTCTATTTGTCAAAATCAATTAAATCAACCACATGATTTTCTTAAAAATCAGTCAATTTCTATATAAGTTAGGTGATTCAAATTGGATAAGTTTCCAATTTTGTAGTTGATGTTCTCCTAAAGGTTGAGAAGAGCAGTGATCTCAACTTCTCTCTCACAACTGACAACATCAAAGCTGTGATTTTGGTATGTATATATTCATACAATTTTACAATGTTTCATGTATATATTTATATCCCACACATAATACATGTAGACATGAAGCACTGCAAAGATTAAGATATAAAACAATTTTCAACATTTTAAAATTGTTTTTTGCAGAACATTTAGTTTATGTACTCAACATTTATGTTCTTCACAAGTCCATAGTTAAATTTTTCATAGTTTATCAAAAAGGTGTTGAATTTCAATTTTGGGCAAACATTTTGCTTTTGTTGTGAGATGAAGAATAATAGTAGTAAAGTTATGAAATTTCTCAACAAATTCAAACAATTTTATTATAGGGTTTTCAGTGGCAGTATAAGCTTAAAAAACAATCCTTTTGCTTCTGTTTTGATGGCAGAACTTTAACCAAAACAATACAAAACCTTCCTTCTTTAGGCAGCCCCTATATATATATATATAATTTTTATTTTTTGTTTTGTTTTGTTATATTTTCTGCAATCTCATATTAACTAAGATTACTATTATTTTCCTGCTTCTATTTTCAACACATTATCCTAAATATTGTTGTTCATTTTTATACACAACAAATAATTTTGTAAAAAAGTTTCAGATTTTTACTATAAGTATAAATAGAAAATGAATTATTTAGTATATGTACTCAACATTTATGTTCTTCACAGGTCCGTAGTTAAATTTTCCATAGTTTATCAAAAAGGTGTTGAATTTCAATTTTGGGCAAACATTTTGCTTTTTAATGCAGGATCAAGCTTTTTATAATCTAAGAGCCTGTTAGGTTGATTTATACATAATACAGATCCTTTGCGAAATTGTAATTTGGACCAAGAACAGATATTGGAAATATCGCTAAAATCGATAGCTATAATCAACTCAGTCAACATTGTAATTGCTTCCACATTGCAACACACACAATTGATGGATGACACATAAACCCTTAAATCAGAACCATGGTTGATAGAAGAAACAACCCAGAAAAGGACTAAAATCAAACCCTAGATCTCCGTCACAGCCTCATGAAACTTGAGATCTGGACGCAAATGCCCTAAATTACAACACTCACAACATGATTGGAATAAAGATCAGAACTTGGAAACGCAATATAGATTCTGATTGTCACAATATTAAAGAGAGAAAGTGAACACGAGGACCTCCTAAATGTAAATCTCAAAAGCGAAGATATATGTGATCTATAGATACAAACAGAGACACAAAATGAGGTACCTGGTGGAGGAGCTCTGCCAGATCGGTGGTGGAAGAGGTTGGATCGCCACTGAAGTCGCCTTCCAGGGAGCTACGCGAAGAGAGAGAAACGACGCTAAAAAATGCCCTAAAATCTTATATGCGACCTTATATACGTGATATCACCGCTACAGTAAAAACGAGGGTTGGTTTGGTTTTGGTTTAAGATCAATTCACCGCTATAGTGCCATATCAATCTAATATCACCAAAATGTTGATATGGGTTTTGGCCCAAAAATGATAATGTTTTGGCACTGTTAAATACCATATCAGCCCGCTCCAAACATGATATTGGCCCAAAACCAAAATCAAAATACCAAAACCATATCAGATATGGGCCTCCGAACAGGCCCTAAGGGTGGCAAATGGGCGGGTTGGGTCAGATTTGGATTAGGTTGAAAATGGACGGGTTAACATGGGTAAAGACTCATATTCAACCCATTAAGAAATGGTTAAAAATGGACGGGTTGAAAACGGATAGGGTCAACCCGTTATAACCCGTGAACTCATTAATTATTATTTTTAATTTTTTATATTTTTAATTTTTTTTTATTTAAACTTGATGGGAACATTTATGGTGCCTCTGCCGTTGTTGCAGAACTAGTCGAAACCGGAGCATGTCTGATGCTCCTTTTCTCTGCTCTCTACAATATTTACTTCTCATAATTAGATTTTTAAAAACCAAATTCAATGTGATCAAATGGATGATAATGATTTTGGAGAGAAATTTTCCACACGCGCACACACACACAAAAATTTAAAATTTGTGAAGATTTTTATTTGGAAGATGTAGTAAGGGATTTTTAATTTTTAATTTTTAAACTTTAATTTTTAATTTTCTTTTTAATTTGGAATTGCCACGTCAAATTCTGCAGCCTTGCCCGTCACCATCTCATAGTCGTCACCGCCGCTGCACCAAACAACGTCCATCACAGCCAATAGCTTCCGAGCACTGCCGCCGTCAGAGGCCGAAATCGCCGGTGCCACCACGGATCTCTGCCGCCGTCATCAACGATCTCATCTGCCTAGCCGAAGCCGATCTCTGCCATCACCGCCGCTGCTCTAGCCGCCGCTGCCGATCTTCTCTACTGAGTTGAGCAAACAACAAAGATAAGATCTCTGCCATCGCGACTCCGTGTCAAAGCCGATCTCTGCCACCACCGATCTGATCTGCCGCCTTAGTTTCCCTCAACCAAATCCCATACTCTCCCTGCAAATCCCAACCTTCTCCTCCTCCCTTCACCTCCTCTTCTTCACCGGATCTGTCTTGGCCAAACTCAAATCACAGAGGACCGGCAATACCCACCGTCGGCCGTCGTTCCTATCCACATCCGAAGCCGCAGGCTTGGCGTCGGCCTTCAACTCTTCCCGCCATTCACTGTTCTTTTAATTTTATTTTTTTAATTTATTTTTTATTTTTAAAATTATTTTTTAATTATTTATTTTTTTTTAGAAGAAATTTCTAGAAAGAGGGGATTGATGACAGATAAATTTATAGAGAGAATATTGTGAGAGAGAAAATTTTAAAGAGAGAAATGAGTTGAGTACAATATAGAATGATGTGTGTTGTGTGTTTATTATGGGATGGGTGAAATATGGGTTAAATATAGTTAACCATATTCAACCCATCTTGATCGTCAAATTAAATAGTTAAAAATTACCCAACTCATCTTGACCCTTAATTAAATATGGTTTACCCATATTAAAAAGCGGACGAATATGAGCTGGTTGATAGTTCCTGACCCATATTGCTACCCCTATTAAATGTTAACAAATTTGTTTCCCTACAATGTGAAGCATCACATTCACCCCCTACTAGCATGACCCATATATGTGTGAATTGGCTCTCTCTGTATTCACGATTTTCAATCAAAACCTCTGAGAGACATTATATTCGGAAGCATATGGGCTGGCAATCACAAGTTGTAAACCTTCTCTCAAGAACATCATAGAACTATAAATTGTCCAACTAATCTTACAGATAATAAAAAGATAAAGATTGAGGCCCAACTTTTTAACATTCGCACATTTGGTCCAAGGCCCACCAACTATGTAACAGCTAAGGAGGGAATAAATATGGTTTACTGTCACCAAAAATGGTACATACATATTTGATTAAACTCAACTGATATAAGTTTTGACGTTAAAAAAAAACTTATATAAGTTTTTCATAACATTTTTACTCCCCAAAAGGGCTCAAATGGGCGGTTCAAAACGTTCCAACCCTTTTTCAATTTTTTTTTCCCCTCAAATATTAAATTGCAAAACTGAAATCAAAACCTTGTACTTTTAAAAAAACAACTAATAATAACAATTTTGTTATTTCAAAAACAGTTCTTATAAATAAAAATACATATTATATATATATATATATATATATATTTCTTTACATTCTTTGAAAGGGCAATTTTTTTTTCCAATAAGTAAGTGAGTAAAATAAAGAGAAATAGGAGAACTATACATGCATATCCCGGGTCAAAACAAAATAAAATCAAGCCTGATCAATTGGGCAACAAAACCAGTACCACAGAGTTGCAAAGTTAAAACGCAGGTACAAAAATATTAGGCCCAACAAAACAGGCCTCAAGTAACCAAAAACCAGGCCACATATATCAACTATACATACATCATATATTCTTTATCGACTGTTTATATATATATATAAATCCCAATTGCTACCGTGAGAGAGGCAAAAGGATAGGAAAAAGAAGGGAGGAGAGAGAAACAAAAGGAGAAAACGAGAGGAGGGAGACACCAAAAAAAGAGATAAACGAGGAGAGAGAGACGAGATAAATGAGAAAAAAGAAACGAGGGAAGAGAGAGACGAGAGAGATAAAGAGTGGAGAGAAAAAACGAGAGAGACGAGAGAGAAAATGAAACAAAGTAATTTAATTTTAAAAAATATCATGCGTAATGGGTTAAGTGGGTATCCAATTTTAACCCAATACCAATTCATTAAATATATTACCCATTAATAATTTACCCGTTAATAACATATTCAACAAAACTAATCACTCTACACCCAATAATTATTGGACAAATTTGGAAAAAAATTTGGATTTGGGTATATTTTGCCACCCCAGTATTATCCAACAAAATTGTCTATCAAATAGATTTGTATCATTTTTGAAAATATAGGAGGTCAGCTATTATGAAAAATCTCAAAAGGAAAAGCAGCCTAATTTGTTGCTTTTTAATTTTTAGGGTAAATTATCTTTTAGCTGTCATATAAAAAAATTTCAATGTGTCCTCTCTAGTACACACTGCTTCAAGTGCATATTTAATACCATTATATCAAGTATGCATATCATTAGGTCAAAAATACATTTAAGTTCAAGTTGCATTCTCAATATAATTGTGTTGCATTCTTCGTGTAATGATGTTATACATATTCGACAAAGGGTATGGTGTAAAAACTTATATCAAAGAAGAGCCGAGTCTGCTACTCTAAAACAATCTTGTTGGCCAATTTTAATTCCCTCCCAAGAAATTAAACCCGAATAGTCTTTTTTTTTTTTTCATTTTTGGAGTAAATAAAAGGAGAGACGCTTAATGGTAGTTTCTACTCATTTTGTACTGTCTTCCCTCTTTTTATAAATAAATGTATTTTATTATTACATTCTTGATACAATGATTTTACATTCTCAATATAACGGTATTGCATATAGTGACAAATGCGTAACGAATTAATGTTTAGAAGTTAAAATTTTATTTTTGATAGTACTTGTGGTTGTAATTTCAGCACTTTATCCATTGTACATGCCCGTTCAAGCCCTAGGACCACAAGATTCTAGAATCAAATGGCACAACCACAAACATTTTAGAAATAAAGTCACATCTTGCTAGTCCAAAATTTATAAACACCACAATATTTAAGAAAAAAAAGTATCACTCTTTTTAGGACGGAGCAAATATAATTTACTCTACTAATTAAAATGTGACAGCATTTTCTGAAGTTTATTATCATCACTAACCTCTTTATGATTATTTGTACCCTAAATTTAATTTTCAATTTAGACACATAGTATTGGTTGATTGAAAAAAAAGATATTAATTCAGTCACATGTCATTAGTTGATTGGAAGAAGAGAAGTGTTCTTTTAGTGATAATAATTTAATATTGTTATCATAAAAGACTCCTATATAAAATTGGAATCTAAAGTCAATAAATTGCCAATGTCAGTTTTATTCTACAAACACGATTGGATAAGTTTAAGACAAAAGACAAAAGGTGGATAAGATTGAGACAAAAGAAGTTTTTTTAATTCAAATATAATATTTGAATTTGAAAAGGAAACTTCTTTTACTAACAGCTGCTCTAGACATGTATAAATAGCACCATGAAGCCTTATGCAACAGGGCCCGACCAGAACAATTTCCTACTCCAAAAGAAGTTTTTTTAATTCAAATATAATATTTGAATTTGAAAAGGAAACTTCTTTTACTAACAGCTGCTCTAGACATGTATAAATAGCACCATGAAGCCTTATGCAACAGGGCCCGACCAGAACAATTTCCTACTTCGGCAACTTCATTTTATCGATGTTTTTCATTTTCTGTAATTTCATACCGTCTTTTACTTGTACTTTACTTCTGTTCATAGGAGTAACCTATTCATAAGAGTAACCTAGTGTTAGATTTACATTTTCTACTCTGTAGAAGAATTTTACTTATAAAATAAAAGTCCACGCTTGACTTCAGTCCCTTTTACTTTTATTTTTTAAGTCTCTTGAAATATATGAATGCTTGTGTAATTTGTTTTACTCCCTTCATCCATTCTACATATAATGCTGAAAATCCTCTGTATTGAGGCGTTGAAGAACACGAAGGAATGGGTCTTACTTACCTTCCAGCAGTTGCCTGATTCACTAGAGGGCCGATTTCATATTCGGTCAGCACAAAGGATAGTTTGGCTATCCAACACCTTGGGTCAAAGACTCTGGCACGCCCCTAAAAAAAAGAGCCGAATAATGATGCAACACCCGTAATATATTACATTATGATGTGACACTTTAACAACTTTATTTCAAAAATATAACACATTTATATAAAATAAAAAATAAAAAATAAAAAGTTGTATTCCCAATATAATCTTGTTGTGATATTCTCAATATAATAATGTTACATGTTAATAAAATATTGTTCTTGATATAATATTGTTACCTACAAAGCACCCATTAAATACCAATGCATCGTCATGGCAAACCAGATAAAGAATTTATGAGTCTGTTTGGCATGCGCTTTGTGTTAGGCATTTTCTTTTTGGTTAAAATAGAAACAGTATTTTTAATATAAGAATGTTTTGAAAAAAAATCGAAAGCACGTTTGGAAACTATATTTTGTTGTGAAAATGTCGGGCCGTGTTGCGCAACTGTTATGGTTTTGGATTATGAACAATTGTCAAAATAAGAAAAAATAATCTTTTGGTGTTTTGGTTTTTGACTACTACTCACGAAGTGTTTTAGCACTGTGTAGAATAAAACAAAGCCGCATCAAATATGATTTTGTTACAAAAATCGATACTATAACAGTCCAAAAATAAAAAACTCATTCCAAATGAGACCTATATTTGAAAATTTAACTTATATTTCTTCGAGTACTTGTGGTTATAATGTCAGCCTTTTTACACCCACAGTACATGCCCTTATAAGCCAAGGACCACAAGATTCTGCTATCTATCGCACTATGACAAACATTAAGAAGTAACTAGTCCAAACACTATAAACACCACAATATTTATTATCATATAAACTTTAGCCAAAAAAAAAAATTCAAATAGAGAGCCTATGAACAACAGTACTAGTGAAGTGTCCATATTCACTCTGTGAAATAGCTTTCCCAAACCTCTCAGCCATCCCTTGCAGAGAGGACTTAATAAAAGAATCCAGAAATTCATGTGTCCACCCATCCAAACGATCAACGGTGTACAATCACTCGATCCAGCACCCTCATTCATCATCACTGTTGATTGGTCATACATTGATCATCGCAACATATGAATGAAAACCCATATTATTTTTCAGGATCTCGTAGTTGAAGCACCGTTTGATCGAATCAATCAATAGTAACTTCTCTCTTGCCCAATGGATAACCTTCTCATCGTCGCCGGATGATGACATTGGTGTGGTGGCACAGTACAGGACAAGCCCGGCTGTCCTTGGACCCCTCAACTTGGTAGCATGTGTCAATACCAGGAAGCCATTTGTTTAGGCTGCAAAAGTCCTCCAAGAGTGGCCACACTTCATCTGGTGTTATCCCCCCTGGCTTCACTGTGGCTTTGCCTTCCCATTTTGGCTGTGTTTCTTCTGCCATGAGAGAGATTTTGGGAATGTGTTGCAATATGGTATGAAAAATTTTCATAATGACCTTATTATTATATAGGAGATATAAATTAGATGCTAAGTTGATCAATTGTAATTTAAAGACATTACCATGTGCAAGGTCAATATTGTCCCCCTCAAAATATAGTCATGAGCTGTGCAATTTTGAATTATTTGAATTTTCAATTGAACTAGTAGCAATTGGGCTGCTAAATAAAAATTCCCTTGGTTGTCTGTTGCCATTGTTGGGGATCCTCCCTTTGTTTCTTAGCCTTTTGTCTTTCTTCTGATAGGTAAAATAAATAATTATATGCTACCTCTGGACCGTCCGAATATAATTGTTCACTTCATAAATTATGACTCACGTAATTGTAAATATGTGAGTTACAATTTACGAAATGAATAACTATATTAGAACGGAGAGAATATATATATATATATATATATGACCAATAATTTTTTATACAAACTCGAGTTTAATTCATGTGAGTGTGTTGGTAGGCCACATTATATGATGTCATTGTGATATTATGTGATGAGACTCACCATCCCTCTCATATAAATTAAATAAACTAATTACAATATTTGGAGTAATGATATTTGTTCTAAAGAGTTAGACATAGATTGAATTGTTAGAAACACTATATTTATATTTTGATTGGTCATTAATATATGAAATAAAGAAGTGGAGAGTTCACTTTCTTATATTTGGCATGCATTAACCAATAATAATTATGCCTAATCATTCTCTTCAAATTTCATTAATCTTATTTTTATTCTGTTCACAACAAATATTGATTATTTAGATTAATTCCTTATTGGATTCAAGTAACTACCTCCAAGTTAGAAAAAGATTTTGTACAGTTGAGTTTTGAAAAGGAATTGACACAGACGACATTGTATATTCATCCAGCATTACAACCAAAATTATGTAATACCAGTAGAAGTCATCCCAATCTCAAAATATGGGATAAAGTGAGATCCATGGGGACATAGCTAAAGGGTATAACGCGTCTACAGAGTTGAATGATGTTCATTTATAGCAAATTTTTTTCCCTCAAGCAACGTGGAGCTTTCACATTCACCCGAGAGGCTGAGATCAAGTGCGAAGTCACACAATTTTTCTCAACAGGTGTCGCTTTCTTGCTCAAATCCTCACCATTTTTGACTTAATTTTGTTACTTTCACGCTCCTGCTCCCGTAACTTAGACCGAGTGTCCCCGCTAACATGACCCATATATGTGTGGATTGGTTCTAGTATTCACGATTTTCAATCAAACCTCTCCCTTTATTAAACGTTTATTCGGAACCCGGTCCTAAGAGTTAAGAAGCATATGGGCTGACAATCACAATGTGTTAAACCTTCTTTCAACAACATCATAGCACTATAAATTGTCCAACTAATCCTACAGATAATAAAAATAAATAAAGATTGAGGCCCAACTTTTTAACATTTGCACATTACGTCCCAAGGCCCACCAACTATGTAACAGCTAAGGAGGGAATAAAGATGGTTTACTGTCACCAAAAATGGTGCATATATATTTGATTAAACTCAACTGATACAATTGTTGACGTTACAAAAAACTGATATAAGTTTTTCATACCATTTTTACCCCCAAAAGGTTGACTTGTCAATTAATAATATAAAATAAAATAAAATAAATAAATAATTTGAGGTTAAACATGTAAAAATGACATGTTTTGCTAGTATTATCCAACAAAATTGTCTATCAAATAGACTTGTATCATTTTTTAAAATATAAGGAGGTCAGTGATTATGAAAAATCTCAAAGGAAAAGCAGCCTAATTTGTTGCATTTTAATTATTAGGGTAAATTAGCTTTTAGCTGTCATGTAAAACATTTTCACTGTGTCCTCTTAGGTACACACTGGTTCAAGTGCATATTTAATACCATTGTATCAGTATGCAATATTATTAGGTCAAAAATACATTTACGTTGAAGTTGCATTCTCAATGTAATTGTGTTGAATTCTTTTTTTCGTTTCTTTTCTTTTCTTTTTTTTTTGAAATTTTAAGCAACTCGTATAAATATAAAGATAATTACAAAAGGTGGGTCATTTAGCCTAATACAACCCAAACAAAGGAAAAACAAGGCCAAGGAGTGGCCCAACACGGGATTTGCCCAGACATGTGATTTAAACTAATAACCGCAATTAACGGCTAATTAGTCGTTAAATGAGGTTGTTGGTGCTCGATCCGGTGAGAAACCCTAGCAGAGGATGATGATTGATCATCCACTGAGTGAAAATCTGTCCGGCGGTCTTGGGGGAAGACGACAGTGAGCCGTCGGTCTTAAAGGAGGACGACAGTATTGCATTCTTCATATAATGATGTTATACATACTCAATAAAGAGTATGGTGCAAAAACTTGTATCAAAGAAGAACCGAGTCCGTTACTCTAACAATCTTGTTGGCCAATTTTAATTCCCTCCCAAGAAATTAAACCCAAACAATCTTCTTTTTTTATTATTTTGGAGTAAATAAAAGAAAAAGAAAAACTTAATGGTAGTTACTCAGTAATACTACTCATTTTGTACCTTCTCCTCTCTATTTATATATAGATGTATTGTATTATTACATTATCGATGCAATGATTACATTCTCAATGTAATGATGTTGCATATCATAACAAACACGTAAAAAATCTATATTTGAAATTTGAAATTTTATTTTTGATAGTGCTATTGATTCTAATTTCGGCACTTTATCCATGGTACATGCCCATCCAAGCCCGAGGACCACAAGATTATCACATGGCACAACCACAAACGTTTAGAAATAAAGTCCAAAATTTATAAACACCACAAGATTTAATATCATATAAATAAACTTTAGCAACAACAAAAGTCAATAATAGTAGAGAGCCTATGAACAACATTAGTGTGTCCGTCATCATTACTCTGTGGCCAGGATAGCTTTCTCCAATTTCTCTGCCATCTCATGAAGAGAGGACTTGATATAAGAATCCAAAAATTCCTGTGTCCACCCATCCAAAGGATCAGCCACGTATGACCACTCGATTTGGCACCCGAGTTCATCATCACCGTTGATCGGTAATACATCCATCGTCGCAACATATGAGTTAAAGCCCACGTTATTTTCCAGGACCTCGTAACTAAAGCACCGTTTGATCGGATCAATTGACAGTAACTTCTCTTTGCACCAGCTGACAGTCTTCTCGTCACCGTCGGATGATGATGTTACTGTGGATGCACAGTACCGGATAAGCCCGGGCTGTCCGTGGACACCCTCAACTTGGTAGGATGTATCAATACCAGGAAGCCATTTGTTTATGCTGCAAAAGTCCTCCAAGAGTGGCCACACTTCATCTGGTGTTGGGCCTCTTAGCTTCACTGTGGATTTGCCTTCCCATTTTGGCTGTGTTTCTTCTGCCATGAGAGAGAGAGAGAGAGAGAGGGAGTTGTGGAAGATGTTACAATGCTGTGTGTATATATGAAATATCAGCATGATAACCTTATTATACAGGGGAATTAATTAGATGCCAAGTTTGTCAATTGTAATTAAGACATTGCCATGTGCAAGGGCAATATTGCCCCCTTAAAATATTGTCATCATGTGTGCAGCAAAGTGCAATTTTGAATTTTCAATTGAACTTGGCAAATGTGATGTTGACTTTGTGGTCCAATTCTAAGTTCCATTATGGTAGGTGTAACGTGCGGGAGATTGCCTAAAAAGTGTTTAAGTTATTGAATAATATTTTTCTCATCTGAATTCGCTATTACAGTCAGATCACATTATTTATCCGGAGTGATATCTCGGATTCCTCCGAATTGAACGTTTTGCATGACACTATATCAAAATTTCGGTCTGATTCTGATGTCAACTATAACGATAGACGTTTGCGTGTTGACTTAAAAACTTAAGCTATTGAATACTTATCCATTTATACTCATTTCATTTTCTATTCAGATTTAATGTGGGACACCTCTAACACTAAAACATTTTACCCATAAAAAATTATACTTATACCAATTTGTTACAGTGAATTGTCCGACCTATTTCTTTTAATTGGTCATTTATGTTACAAATAAAAAAATAAGACCCTTCACTTACTTGTTGTATTGTACATAAATAATCAATTAAAAATATTAAATTAAATAATTCACGGTAACAAATAAGATGCAAGTATCAATGATCTTTAAGTGTTTTTTATTCAAATATATATATATATATATATGTGTGTTTTTTATTTTTTATTACATTGTACGGTGGGCATCAACTTTGGGGCCTTCCATGATATAAAAAGCATAAAATTAAGTGGAATAAAGAGTATGAATTTATGGGCCTAAGGTCTCACATGGATGTCAGTCACGACGATGAATCTGGACATAACTTTGATCGAATAAAAAGGGCCTTTAGTACTTTACCAAAAATCAATTAGATTACATGATTTTGAGGGAGGCTCGAGAAATTTGTCAAATTTGTCAAATAATCTGGACATAACTTTGACTGAATTAAAAGGGCTTTTACCAAAAATCAATTAGATTACATGATTTTGAAGAGAGGCTCGAGAATTTTGTCAAATTTGTGAATTAATGTAACGCGAACTTGAAGATTATTCTATTCATGTAATCCATTAATTGATTTCTACATAATATAACTGATCAGTGTTTTAACCATTTAATAAAGATATTTTTTTTCATAATATGGAAGTCAAGGGTTTAGAAAAAAAATAGCCTCTGCACATGTGGATACAAGGGCAGCGTACACTAACCCCTTTTTTTTTTTTATCAGATGGCTTTTTAATATTTTTTAGGTTATTTTTAAATTTAAAACAAAGTTACATCTTTAAATCAAACAGGAATTACAGAATATTATTGGTTATTTAGTAGAGTATTATGAATACCTATCTATTCCTATTATATATGCATGTAGAATTTCTATAAATTTTTATTTTATTTTTAAATTTAAAAAAAGTTACAACATTTTAAATTAAACAAGAATTATTGAACATTGTTCAATATAGTATTATTGATAATAAAGTTAAATTTTAACTAATATAAACTAAAAAAATTAATAATTTTTACCACTATAACAAAATGTGATTTTGCTCCACCATCATATAAAAATATCTATATTTCAACAGGTCTTTTGCAACAACCGAAAATTGTCACTAAAAGCACTCATTTTGTTGCCAAGAAGCCCGTCATTTAGTTCCTTCTTGTGAAATCAAAATAGAAAATTATCAAACTATCAAGAATTTGTGAGTTAATTAGGTTTTTATATATGTATTAATGACCGTAAAATGAACATAGCAACATAGAGTTAATTATATATTTATATATACTAGTCTATTAGCATAGGTTTTCAATCATATTTATATTCCCAACTCAAAACATTTTTGTCAATCTAATCTTCTTTGGTTAGGGGTATAATTGGCTTTTCTTACAAAGCATTGGACAAAAGTGTCTTCACAACAATTTAAAAGGCATATGAAGCTAAAAAAAAAACTTGTCAGATTAATGTTAGATCAATTTTTTATCAAAAGTGAAACAAATGATAGGAATCAATTTGTTACGCATGTAATTATATCCAAAAACAACGAAAGAAAGTAAGTGTAATAAACCCTAACTAGAGATGAGCTGCTGAGCTACACTTATGGCCTAGACAAGAGAATTTTGAAGTACCGTAGTTTAATGATATCCCCTAAACTTGAGAGTTCAACTTTGTATGGGACCAAATGAGTGTGAATTTTATGAGAAAAATAAAATAAAATGAAAGGGGAAGAAATTTGACATATACGCATGGGTGGCCAACACACAGATTACTCAAGAGAAATTTTCTCTTGTTTTTTTAATATAAAGTAAATGAGCAAACAATAAAACAACAGAGATTCCAAATAAAATGACGAACACAACAGCCGCGGTTCCACTAGCCAACCAAACTGTTTGTTTTGTCATTTGAACTTGCAAGGGTATCCTCCTCCATTTTCTTAGCCATGCGCTGCAGCCCCACCTCATACTTCTTCGTCAAATCTTCCAGTGTCAACCCTTCCACCGGATCCACCTCAAACCACCACTCCATCACACATCCCCCTCCACCATCACCACCTCCTGGACCAATCTTGACCGTAGAAACGTATGACTTGAACCCTATATTGCACTCCACAATCTCATAACTCAAACTCCGGTCAATGGGATCAATGGCTATCAATCTCTCCGTGCACCAACTAACGGGTTTGTCACCATCTTTTTCACCGCCGCTAGACGGGATTGAAGAGCCGGCACAATACCGGATACAACCAGGCTCGCCGTTGGTGCCATGGACACCATAAGAAGTGGATAAGCTGGGAAACCATTTGTGTAAATTGAAGAAGTCTTTGAGAAGAGGCCATATTTGGTCTGCACTAACATATGTTAGCCTTGTGGAAACTCTGCCTTCCCACTTGGGTGGTTGTGACTTTTGCTCCATTAGAGAGAGAGAATCCAAAAGACTATTGAGAGAGGGATCGTTTATAAAGAAGCAAAAGTTCTTACACATGGCAACAAGTATAAAGTGTAATCTGAAAATTTATGACACCATAATTTCCTTTTTCTTCCATACCTTGTATGCATCCAAAAGGAGATTAAAGCCATGAGGGTGCACTCGTGTCCTTGTCACCATGAGCTCAACTCATCCATATCATCATTAATCATTAATAATGTATTACCATTTACCGATACCTAATTAAAACAAAAGCACTAGCTAATAAATAGAAGGTTAACCATATCACATTTTCTATATACCGTCTTCTATAGAATGACGGAGGAGGTAATTTTGGAAGAGGATAAAATTTATCCACTCAGAAAAAAAAAATAATAATAATAATAATAATAAAAAGAAGAACGAGGGAAAATGAAATTCACATGAATTTTTTTCATCATACACACGTCACAAAAACTTTTAATGGTTTTAGTTGATTTATCTTACCATACGAATTGAAAAAAGTCCTATTGGTTCGAGTTTTATCTTTACCATATGCACTTGAATTTCAATACTAATACGGAACTGATAGAACTTAAGTCCATTGATGAAGAAGTCTAGTTTTATTAAATAAAATAAAACTTGATAAGACCATAATAACTGAAGTATTCTCACAAAAAAATTTATGTTATGCACACTATATATATATATATATATATATATATATATATATATAGTGACATCAAGAGAACCGTCCTTGTCAACCATTAAATCATAAATTTCATTTATTAATCCTTACTTTTAGTTATGGCTTGATCGAAGTGCTCTTTTTTTTTTTTTTCTCTTTTTCTTTTTTTGCATTTTAAGCAAAGTGTAAAAGAGGCCTAGGAAAAGAAGCAGCTATCTACTACTGTAAGATTTCTATGAGTGACACCACAACACAAGCATTCCATCCTTGGAAATCAGGGCAACTTTATAAACTCATGAAATCTGGTCCACTGGTAATTTACTAGGGGATTTCCTTTGTCCACCATTTTAACACAAAGCCTCTAAAAGACCAGTACCATGCTTGAACTTGAATCCTCTCGACAGTCATTCTGAAAGGCAATATATAATCATATGGGAGGTAAGTTGACTTCAAGATATAATTTATACCTTTGATTTCTACAAGTAGGAGGAGAAAATGAAAAACAAATTTAAGCAGCAGAGCTACTACACAATTAGACCAGTGCTCGGATTCGGACGGATCTTGTCTGATCTTATCCAATCAGTTGTAGTATTTAAAGAATTTGCCAAGGGAAAAGAATATACCACCTTGCCCAAAGGTAAAGAATATACCAGCACCTGTTCATCTTATGTTAAAGAGTATTATAATTTGCTACAAATGCACCTTTAACTTTTCCAAAGGCCACGACAGGAGATAATTAACCGCTGAATTTCTGCTTCATGTAGCAAGGGAAAAAAAAAAAAAAAAACAGCTCAATAGCTTGTAAAGGTAGTATTTTCCCCGAACTAACAAAATTTTCAAATGAAAAATCTTTCTGGCAAAAGAAATCAACCTCAAGTCAAGTGATAAAAGAGGATGATCCTAATGATGCTGGAAGGGGAGCATGCTTGGGTACACCGAGGAGCTAGGAGTCTGAGGATGTCCAAAGAGAAGAAACAAGTGCCAATAAACGGGGTGTGCAATGCAAGGAAGTCTACTGTCAGGTGAGGATGGGCAGTTCCAGCCAACTGTTGGTGCCACTGAATAGAACTCCAAGGGCAAGGCAAAAGCCTTTGGCATAATGCTCATGGATGCACAGGGTTTAGGTAGGAGTTTATTGTAGTCATTCTCACGTGACAACCCTCTTGAAGAATCTAAAGCAAAGACAACATGTATGCAGATAGCACTAGGGCAATCATGACTAGGGCTGCAAGTTGGGTTGGCCCAACCCAACCTCAACCCGAATCGGATTGGGTTGGGCCAACCCGAATTGTAGTTAACTTGGGTTGTGGTCATAACCCGGACCGAATATTTTCGGACAGGTTGGGTCGGGTTGATGGGTTGAGTTTTTTTTTTTTATATAATTTTTTTTTTCCTGAAATTTATATATATTATATTATATATATATATATATATTTGATTATATTATCATTAAAAATATATATATATAATCAAATTAACAAGGCAAGTCGTGGGGATTTTAGCGCTGATGAACTGAAGGAGAGACAGTATGATCACTTTGAACTCTTGTTGGTTGTTGCGTCTCTTTGATTGAAGCCTACTTGAGATATGGTTGTGGGTTCCGATTTGTAGGCCAAGGCAATGCAGAATCCAGAAGTTCAGAACATCCTCACAGATCCTGTTATGAGTCATCATAGAAATGGCTTCTTCAGAGGTTTCGTTTAGAAGAGAGAGCTTCTCTTCAGGTTACAGTGAGCACAATGATGGCCGAGGGTTTCTTTTTTGGAGTTAGATAATCCCGGATCGGCGGCGACGGCAGCAGAGAGAGTAAGAGAAAGAAGAGAGAGGAGAGAGAAAGGAAAATTGGGTTGGGTTCGGGTTGAGCCCGAGCCCACCCGAATGTGTCTGGGTTTTGACAAAACCCAACCCGAACATGAACCCGATTTGTGAATTGTATGTCCAAATTTCAAAATTTATGGGTTGGGGTTGGGCTGGGCTGGGTTAGCCCGCCCAAGTTGCAGGCCTAATCATGACAAGAAAAGGTGGCAGAGGTGCACATTGCAGGGAAGGGCTATAAAGCATTGATATGAATATAGGAGGTGACAGGAGTCACGCGGATGATATAAGGAACTCACAAATTTGAGATGCCGCAAAATTATCACGTCAAATGAAAGGGGTTCCTTAGCCTGTAAAAACAAGTGTGACATGTCATAATCTGTCAAATTGAAGGTTCCAAAAAGGCGCTATACAAGTGCTGAAGGGAAATATGACATATTTGTGTCAGTTGCATCAAAAGTAGTATCCTATGCAGTATACAGGGAGATGCAGAAGTGTGTTAAGTTTTGAATTAAATATCCACCATACTCTGTAAAAAGTTCCCATGCGTCACCTGGCAAAGAAATTTTGGACCCTTAATCTTCTTAATAGATTTGTTTAGATCTTAGCCATTGCTTAAATAGGTAGTAGCTAAAAGGTAATTTGCATCAATCCAAGCTCCTCAATAGGGAATCAAGCCCTCAAAAAGTACTCAACGTGGTCTTCTCCTAGTGTTTCCCATAGTAACTCTAATTTTCTTGAAAACCAAACTCACTTTACGTGCATGAGCAAGCATTTAGTGAAGGGTGAGAGCCATTAAAATACTAACAAGTGAGGCACATATGGAAAAGTGTTGACAAGAGCAGAAAGGGAAAAGACCAGGCCCTGTGAAGGAGGGGACAATGAGCAATTGCTGCAAGAGGTGGAGCAGGGGAACTTGTGAAACTCTAAAACAAATCATATCAATAGCAAATAAAACACAAGGGGAAGAGAAAAAAAATCAGAATTAATCCTTCTCTTTGGCAGAAGCAACAATGCAAGCATTTGTTTCACTTACCGTTTCCATCCATGCTAACGTGATTCATCGATCTCCCAGCAAAATCTTTTTTCCTGTTGCCTTCATAAAACCAAAGATCCCTCCAAAATGATGCTTAACACATCTAAAAACCAAAGTTCCCTCCGCAAGGATGCTTAACCCATCCTCGTCCACTGCCGGTATTCCCAAGTTTGTGTACTCTGCAAGCGAATGAGCCAGAAAGGGTCCCTGAAAAGATTAATTAGAGAAAACCTGCAGCACAAAAAAACTTACATGCGAAGGTGAGGATGAATCAAGAACTGCAATTTAAAGAACTGTGAACTTCTACAATGACACTTGCAAGTAACTTACCAAGTCGAGAGTCACTGGGAATCTTCGTTTCACAAATCCAGAAGAACTCAGCAAGTGGTTTTTGCTCTCAAGATCACAACTATGACACTAAACTATATACCAAACCTCCAACTGTATGTTAACAATAAAAACTGACACACCAGTCGCATAGTCAACCAGTGGCTAGCAACCAACTGGAACTATGTACTTCAGAAAAATTAACTTGAAGATTTGAAACAACTAAAACACATTTATACCTCAATAGAACAGTACATGTGGATTGATTCCTTGGTCGATAGAACAGTACATGTGGATTGATACATTGCCGCGCCCACCCCCCCCCCCCCCAACAACAACAACTCACACAAAATAAAAACCAATCTTTCCTACCCATTTTACTCGATCACTACCAACTCAAATTGAATTTGAAAATGATTCTCTACTATTCTTCAGTCCCTAAATTCTATTCAATGAAATGAAAATTGGGAAAAAGAACCTCCATGGAGAGTATATTGGAGTTAAGATATATAAGTATCGGAAGTTCAATTATGCAGAGACTCATTCACAAGAAAAAATATATTTTTTGAAATTGATATGGTCTCAACCACGCAATGTGCACCCAATAAAAATAAAAAATTTGACCATCTCCCAGGTAACATATAAATCAGGAGATAAAAACCAAGACCGCAAATTTTTGACGTTCCTGGTTTTGTAGGAAATAAAAGAATTACAATAACAAGAAGGAAAACATGATGAGCCATTAAACACCAATTCTTTGATATGAGTAATAAGCGATATCCCACCCTGAATAAATTTAAGCATACCAGCACCAAAGGACGAAATATCATAAGGATGCAAAACCAGGGACACAAAACCAGAATAAGTTTTAAATATCTATAGTGCATTGCAAAATCTTAACTCGCATGTTCCCTGAATTATCATCAATAATCAAAACATGACCCGTGCATATGCATTCAACCAAGGAACTATTATTCAAGACTATACAAACTTTTGACAGTAAGTAAAAATATCCCCATCCCATTGAGCGAAAAAGATCAGGGGCATTGGCTTTAATAGTATTTTAACACAGCTAGAACACAATGCACAGGTGTCAGTAATCAATACTATGAAATAGGATCGCACGAGTGAAACTTTGATGATTGACCATCATACATCAACTCGGAAATCACATGATGAGTCGGCTAGCCTTCTAAAAATGAGGTAAAACTTGCTTCCTAAACACATGAGTACATGGTACGGACTAAATCATGGCTCACAAACAGGCAGCCTAAAGAACATCAGTAAGCATCCCCAACAAAACTTTGGCGCTCATGAAACAGTTCGACCATAGCAAACAGATGCAATATAAAGATTTTTTGCCCATTTCTCCTGCAAGAAACCAGCAAACAAGAGATTTAAGCTTCAATATTGGGTTTTTTAGTACCTGGAAAAAGCAAACTAACCCATAATGATAGATGTAAACAAAGAACCTTGACATGTGTGCTAGGAAATGCAGAAGTCCGAAGTGTCTCTTGTGTTTCATCTGCAGGTTTTCTTCTCGGAACACTCAGAACAAGAGCAGCCTGATCCGAAGTTGCTGCAGTTGATGTGATGCGATAACCGCCATCCCACCTCCGATGAATGCCTTCACTAGGATATAGAAAGTCTAATTCCACAACCTGACATTAAACATAGAAAAATCTATCAGCAATGTTATCTCGGCAGCATAAATGGCATGCATTCTAATTGAGCAAAGGACCATATCCCAACAAAACCTGATCAGAAAATCCAGCCCCACGAGACATGACAATCGCCCATCTACTTCCTGCAGTGGCCATGGCAGTGACATAGAATCCCTCCCTCCATTTTTTATTGATCCACTTAAATGGAAAAGACTCGCTTACTTTATAGGACTGCTGTAAGTATTGGGTACCTAAATTTTTGAAGTAACATAAGTTAAGAAGAATTAAACTAACCATATATAAAAATATTGAGCTTCCATATATCTAGACTAACCCTTAGACATTACTACTAGCGAGCTTCCATTATTAGCCCCTGCTATTGCACTAATGTAATAATTCTTCTCCCATTGCTCCATAATCCACTCCTTCAAAAAAGAGAAATAGAAAAAATTAGCTCATACACTTAATTTACATGCTAGAATGCTTAAGTGCATTAATGTGTCAACATGCAGTATTAACATAAAATCTGACATAATGTAGTGCATTCCTTGGTCAATAAGGACCACAACCAACCTTGTGAAGAAAAAAGGGGGAGAGTTCATAGACTTGAGCAGTGAAGCCAGTGCCTGCATCCATAATTAACGCCCACAAATTCGAACATGATGCCACGCTGCTGATAAATAAACCATCTTCATTTCCTTTCTCAATGTGTTGAGGAAGTCTCAAGTCTGCCACGTTATAGTGATATCTACAAACACCAAATGTAGACATAACCCCTCTGTCCTGTAGGTTAAATTCGAGAGAACTTAATGTTGTAAGTCCAAAGTACACACCTTTGCTTCATAGGCCTGCGAGCATTGTAAACACTAATCCATTGTGTTGCAGGCATTCCCATTCGGACTTTCTTCTTTGGTTGTTCATCATCATCCTCTTCTATCGTCAGTCGTCCTCTCTTATGACCAACCTGATATATAAGCTTCACAATATGTGATATATATTAGAAATACTCAGATCGAATTTCAGAGAAATTTCAATCTCAACCAGACAGCAACATAATATAGACAGAACTTTCCAAAATAAAAACATAATACAGACAGAAGATCGTATAGAGTACCTTCTGTGCACCATCAGTGTTAATTGGCCTAATGTCTGGATTTGGACCAACTATCCCATCAAATAAGGAGACGTATTTAGCATAGTTAGGTTCCTCATCAAACTTCAAATTCACCACATACTCTACAAACTGTCGGAAAGGTGCAGGACAAAAGCAACAGAGCGATTCTGGAGAAGTTGCCATTTTCTTCTTGCAAACAAGGAACCCTTTATTCTCTCCCTAATTAATCATAGTGTCAGAAAAATATTCAAACAGCATAGAAACAAACCCCTATACCAAGTCTGGAAACTACCAACCTGGTATCCTTGCCAAGGCAGTCGGCCACGGAGAAGAAAAATGAGTGTATAAGCAAGAGATTCTAAATCATCTCTTCTGCTCCCAGTTCTTCCGAGATGAGCATGCACACTTGCATAACGAACTGTTCCCCTGTAGTACCAAAATAATCACACACTCAGCTTATCTTCATACAAACCCCAAAGTACAACAGAACTAGTTGAAGATCCGATTAATTATCCATCATTAGTTTACCTAAAAACATCTGGTCGTTGATCATAGTCAACATGTAGGCCAGTTGAACTATCTCGCCACCTGGTCGCTGCCATGTCAAAAGAAGCAATAAGATAATGAGATATTGCACAAACTTCTGATTGTATCATGCATAAATATCTGAACTGCAGAGCAGAAACAATATTTAATATAATTTACCTAATCCAAGGTCAACAAGAAATAGTTTTTTCTCTTCAGGAGTCCCTGGTGGGCCAAGCAAAAAGTTCTCCGGCTTTACATCCCCATGCACATATCTGCCAAAATTGCAGCAATCTTATAAAGCTCCATACAGTTATGCAAAAATAGGAAATCACTACAACATCTGTGGTTCCAGATTGACTTTACTATTGCTCAAGTAAAGAAGATGACCTAAAATTGACAAGTATACGTTTATGCCATGAATAACTAAAAGTTGTTCTGTCCAACAGAAAACCTATCTCCATGCATATATAAATATACATTGATATATATATAAAGAAAAGAATAAAACAAAACATCTTAAACAAAGTTCAAAGTAAAAAAGGTCACCCTCTGGAGTGCATTTTCTCTAATATGGAGATTGCTTCAATGGCAATGCATGCAACCATTTCAATGGACATCCTGAAGTTGACAAATAGGAAGTAAGCTTCAGATTATGTGTAAATTGGATCAACAAAATGAAAAACTTTGCTAAATGCATATTCTTTAGGAACCAAATTTGAAAAAGAAACTTACGTGTGAGAGTTGTTATTCCATACGTCCCATAAACTAGGTCCAAGCATGTCCATAACCTGCAAAATGTATGAAAGTTTTACATCTAATAACAGATGGGTTGAGAGATAGAACTGCAGTGTCATTGTATAACAAACTGCACAAAAAGCAAATGACACACCATGATGTAGTAGTCGCCTTGCCGGCCCTTATAATGTACTCGCGGCACACCGTGACTGCCACCAAGCGCACTGGGCAAACAGCAGAGGAAGCAAATCAGAATGAACATACTTTTAGAAAAAGCCCAACAATCAGAACTAAATACTCGAACAAACATGTAGTATAGAAACCAAAAATAATACTCACTTGTAAACTTGCCACTCATAAGGTGGTCCATAATTACATCCTTTGCTGCTTCTATGCTCAAATTTCAAGGCAACCTAATAATTTCAACAGATCAGGTAACACTTTAACAAAATAAAATGCAGCATCGACCATTGTGTGTGGGTGGGTGTGGGTGGGTGTGTGTGTGTGTGTGTGTGTGTGTGTGTGTGTGGTGGGGGGAGGGAGGATGTTTGGGTGTTTTTACACCAGGGTTTCCCCCTTTATCCGCTACCCTTCTTATCACAGACCACAACTAGTTCTTTAGTTATATCTGATCCCAAGCAATTAGCAGCAAAGCACAAGCAGCAGATACGCATGAAGAGGGTTGAACCTGAGATAATTAATTCTAAGCCATTGCCCCGGCCGTTTCATCTAACCAAATAGTTGAACATACTAAAATAGTTGACCATACCAGTAACACCATGTATACATAAAAAATATTACCTCTACTGCTCCTGGGCCAGTTCTTTCATGCGGAACTGGAGGATTAATGCGACGACCAACATACACTTGTCCGAATCCTCCTTTTCCCAGTTTCCTATCTGTTTTGTATGCTGGGGAACCACCAACCTGAATCTGTTACAAGGAAACCAGAGAATATAAAGACATTGTCCATAAATCATTTCTAGGAACCCAGATATATTCTTATTAACAATCATTCTTTTATTTCAAGAAATTATTAGTAGCACTGATCGTTTGGTAAATCTAAAAAAGCATATTATTAATTATCAAAGCACAGTAAAATTGTGTATATGCAACTGCAATAATCTAACTGATACCAGTCTTACATCAAACCACTGTGTATCAACAATCTCCATTTTCCTCAAAAACCGTGACAGTGCAAGTTATACCATGTTAATTAGTATCTTTAACTGAAATAGATAATTTAATATAACACTGAAGCTAACTTAATATATGGTTAGATTTTCAGAAGCATATTTCTTATATTAAACAACCAAAATAAATTTACTTTCAAAAGCAATAAAATGTTTTCAAAGCAAGCATTTTCACAAAATAGAACAAGGAATGCCTAATCAATGCATCAAACTCCAAACAAGAAGTACCAAATTCAACAAAAAGTGTATTCTTTCAATTCACAAAGGAAAAGTCCAATTCAAGCCCTACCACAAACATCTTAAAAACAATTTTCAAAACTCAGAAACAAATAAATGGAACTTAAACTTTTAAAATTGTCTAAACCCCACAAAATTAAAAAAGCCAAAGCTGAATTAACAATCTGAGTAATTTGAAGCAAAATGCTCCTTTTATCTTTGAAACCCAAGGGATAAAAGGCATAACCAATAATGTTAAATGATCTTCTGACTTACCAGCATAGCCACTAAAACACTACAAAAATCATCTAAAAAAAATAAAAAAAAACCTTGCTTGCTACACATATATATATAATGAAGGAGAGAGGTAGAGAAATTAACCCTCTCGGGAAGTGGAGCTGTGCTGCCTTCATCTTCAGCTGGCAAACCCTTATCGCCACCACTCCGGCCACCGCTATCGTACTCATCCATCTCTTTCTCCCCAACCTCTTCCTTTGCTGCCGCAACCTCAGCACCACCACCACCACCGACTCCCAAGACCCTAGCTTCCTCCTTCTCCTCACCCTCCAACAACGTTGTTCTATGACACGAAACTTTCACAACATTCTTCTTGGTTTGTCTCCGGCGAGCCCGTACAGTTCTCGCCGCCTTATTATTGTCGTCGGCGGCGACTTTTTCGATCGGAACTGGTTGCTTCGACGGTCGGCCTCTGCGCACTCCGCTACGCAGTTGAGGCATATCGCTCATCCATCAAGCGTATGCGAAATCCCTATAATAACCTTCATGAATGATAGTTCCAGAAATCAATAACCGAATCAACAGATAAAGGCTGGAGATTGGCAAAAAATGAAAATCGAAAATAGATAAGAAGACACAATCTCCGATCGAATGTGTGTCTGTGTGTGTTTGTGTGCGTAAAGATAGATAGAAAGAGAGAGTTAGGGTTTCGATTGTGTGATTTTCAGAGATCTGTGGAGGGAAATGAGAACAATGGGTTCAAAGTGTGAGATGAGAGAGAAGCAATGCTCAGTATCCTCTGTTGGTGATATCTTTTGTGCTATTTCTATTTCAATATATTCGCATGCTTTGTATGTATATGTAAAAACGTGGTGGTCTCTGATTGGGTGAAAGCGAGTATAGAGTTTTATGGACTGGAGTTCTTTTGTTTAGGGTTTGTTTTTTACGTTAAATAGTTTGGTTTAGGGTTTGATGTTGTCTCATTGATGCTTTTGTTCTTGTACGATATCTTATGAGAGGTTGACAAGTCAGCAGGGAGCAACAGAATCCTAATACTGTGATGCATGTGATAATTTTGTTATTGAGAAAATTAAATAGCACTGTAATAAATAGAAAGAAATATATATATAAATTTCTTACACGTGAATCGCGAGTTATGCTAGATTAAAAGCATAGTATCTTAATTATGAACATATACAAGAGGTGTTCTCTAGTGACTTTTAAGTTTCAAGTGATTAATTGTTACATTAAAAAATTAATATAAGAGATTAATTTTAACCTTGGGTGGTTTTTATTGAAAAATTGTTTTTAAATAATAAAATCAAACAGGATTTTAATTTTTAATATTTCAACAAAAGGTGTTCACAAACTACAAAATTAGATTCAGTTTTTCTTTGGGGAGGAAAAAAGCAAAAAAGCAAAAAAAAACCTACCATGTAACTAACAACACATTGCAACATATTATGTTGGTCATCACTTAAAAAAAAAATAGAATTTTACATAAGTGAAAATGTTAAAAAGGAATGGGTGGAATAACTCGAAGAGATAAGATTCACGAGAATAATTTGAGAGTGGCTCCACATTGGTGAGAAAAATGAGGGAGAGAATAGATGTTGATGGTTCGGAGGTACCAAACTCACATTGATTAAATGATGAAAACTAATTGTCCTTAAGAGTTTGAGAGAACGGATAAAATTAACATGGAATGAGATTATTAAAAATAATTTTAATAAATTAAATATAGTAGACAAAATGGCAAATAATATAAAAAATTGGATAAAGATAATTTATTTACATTGAGACAAAGAATGATGATGATTACTTGTGTTAAAAGTAGTGCAAAATAAATAAACAAATAAAAATGGCATCAATGGAGTAAAGTTTGATTCAAAGGTAAAAAAAAAAAGGTTTGTGGAAAGAAATGGTTGTAAAATCTTCTAATGATTCAGCTTTTCTCATTGTATTCTATCTAACTTTGTAACACCATTTTTTACTGGTTTAGATTATAAAGAGTGTATCATGTAAAAAAGACTTTGAAGATGAAGTACATGTGTTCCATATTAAATTAATGTACACTTTAAGTAACCTCTAAAATAAAACAAAACTATTGATGTTGAAAAGTGATTAAAAAAAAAAATTTTGAAAAAATAATACAAGAGATTGTTACATTAAAAAACTAATATAAAAAGTGATTAATTGTTACATTAAAATTTTAATATAAGAGATTAATTATAACCTTGGGAGATTTTTCTTGAAAAATTTTTTTTAAATAATAAAATCAAACAAAAGGTGGTCACAAACTACAAAATTAGATTCAGTTTTTCTTTGGGGAGGAAAGAAAAAAATAAATAAATAAATAAACAAAACTACCATATAACAACACATTGCAACTTATTATGTTGGTCATCACTAAATAAAAATAAAAAACATAATTTTACATAAGTGAGAATGTTAAAAAATAATGGGTGGAATGACAAGAAGAGATAAAATGCAAGAGAATAATTTAAGGGTGACTCCACATTGATGAGAAAAATGAAGGAGAGAATAGATGTTGATGGTTTGGATGTATCATACCCACATTGATCAAATGACGAAAACTAATTGTCCTTGAGAGATTGAGAGAACCGACAAAATTAACATGGAATTGGATTATTAAAAATAATTTTAATAAATTAAATATAGTAGACAAAATGGCAAATAATATAAAAGATTGGATAAAGATAATTTATGTGGCCGATTAGTTCCCGTGACATTGAGACAAAGAATGATGATGATTACTTGCGCTGAAAATAGTGCAAAATAAATAAACAAATAAAAATGGCATCAATGGAGTAAAGTCTGTGTTTGGAAACGTGCAAGTTTAAAAAAAAAATTTGAGAGATTTTCATACATAAATCTTGATTCATCACATAAAGATAAATTTTATAGAAAAATAAAATATGATGTACTATTCAATTAATAGATTGAATGCTTACATCAAGGTTTGAGTAAACTTTAAATATCTCCTCTAAAGTAAATGTTCTCACTTATTGTAGATCCATTTGTTGTATGTCTTTTTCTTAAATCTCCATCTTCTTGATAATAATCTTACCTTTAGGAATCACCCATAAGCCTCCATGAATGACCTTGGAAAACTAGACTTGTGGGAGTTTCTATTAGATGAGAACACTAACCCTAAAATTATAGAGAGAAAAATATATTCATTTTTCTTCCAAAAGTCACCCACAAAATATACATGGACCATGTATATATAGGCACATAAAGATAAGGAAAGGAAATAATAAATCATTCTCAATTTCTAATTCACATATCTCAAATCTAATAGGATTCCAATATCAAGTTGAGCTATGAGTAAAAATTCTTTGGGCTTATTATTTTCTTAACTACAATGAATAAATAATTGGCCCGTTCCATGGACCCAATTCAATAAATTCATAAATTAATTTCTACTCCACTAAAAAAAATTAATTGAATTCCAATTAAATAATAAATAACCTCTAAGTCGATGTTGCACTTTGACGCCTCTATGCATAATTAGTTATTGGATAAATAAAGCCATCAATCCAACTACTTAATTAATATATTTATTTTGGTACCTTTGATTATTTCCGGCTTAATCACAATAAAATATTTGTTTGGCAAAAATAATAATTTAAATAAATAAATATATAATTAATCATTTTGTCTAAAAATACACGAAGGCCTTCGAATTTACTTTGTGATCAGCCATAATCATTACAAAATAAATACAAGTAGCAATGATGCAAATATTAAAAATATAACCCTCTAACTATTAATTACACAATTACCCAAAGTGTCGGTTTATGGATTCCGAAGATTCCGCCAAATAAATCAAAGTAATTACTAATTAATAAAAGAGTTTATACTTCTCTCATGCTTAAGAGTCAAATGCCATGACGGTGATAGGGAGCAATTGCATACGGCGGCTCTCGCAATTTATTTCAACTTAACGCGGATCCAGTTCAAGTCTTAATTAATAATGAGTCCGTTCATAATTATCGACTATGAACTATTTATGATTACTATTTATATTTATGTATTGATCGTCATCACATACATATATAAATATCTCTTGTAATCAAGTAAACACTATCAATTCTATAATGAATCGAAACATAACACATTGAATTCATCAATGGTATAAAGCATAAATATTTCAGATTTTTTAGGAATATATGTCACTTTAATCCAATTAGAAATTCGCTATGCTAGGGCATATAAATCCCAACAGCTCCCACCTGCCCTCGTAGCCAATTCTAATTGCATCTAATTCCAATGTCATCTAGGTGACGATCAAAACTATTGATTGATGACACATTTGTTAATGGATCAACAAAGTTATGTTCTAATGCTATATTCTAGCCACGAATATATTTTCTTGCCGGACAATATCATATAGGATATGATACTTCCTCTAATGTAACATGTTCCTCTATAGAGCCTTGGATCATTAGTCACTATTGTTGCAATATAGTTTGATAGGTAGGCTAATATGTTCCACAACTTCTAAATCAGTGAAATCAAACCAAAAGCCTTCATTTGCTGCCTTTTAAGGCTGCAATGTACTCCACATTCAGGTTTGAGTCAGCAGTTGAAATCTGTTTAACACTTTACCAACTGATTTCTCTTCCATTGAGTGAACATACACCAAGTCATGAACCTCGTAGAATCTACATCTGATTAAAAATCAGAATCAGCATACCTAACTATAATCATGTCATCACATCCATAAATGAGTATGAGATTATTGGTTCTTCTAAGGTACTTTATGATATTTTTTACAACAGACCAGTTATCAAGTCCAAGATTAGACTGATATCCACTGACTATCCCTATAATGTAGCGGATGTCCTGTTTGGTATAGACCATGGCATATATGAGAATCCCATATGCCGAAGCATATTATTCCACTCTCATTTACTCAATCTCCTCTGTTAGTTTTGGAAAACTACTTACTAGAGAGAGCAATCCAAATCAATAAAGCAAGAACTCATTCTTTGAGTTTTGCATAGTAAACCTGGTAAAAACCTTATCAATGAAGAATTATTAAAATAAGCCTATTTTCCTTTTAACCTGATCTTGCAAAAGCTTGATCCTAGGAATATAACTTACATTTTAAAAATCCTTTATTTCAAAGTAATTGAATAACTATCTAATAATTGATGACTAAGCCTCCATATCATTATAAATGAGTAGGATGTCATCAAAATATAGAAGTAGAAAAACAATGACATTACCTTACACACACATGGTTCATTCACTAAGAAATCTTCTGGAAAGTTCTACAAGAAAGTTCTATAAGATCCCATAATTTTATTAGAATACATAGACTCCAATTATGGTTTCATAGCAACTTGCCAAAATGATCTGTATCCATATCAGTTCACGCTTCCATGTAGCTTACTGGGTCCAACTCATGTTTAACAGGGATGTTTATAACAGTCTCACCTAAAAGTATGATTCAGACGGATTGGATGATTATCCTCCCACTACATCAATGTACCGATGCAGGAATCTGTGTACTAAATGATGTCGACGCACCAATAGGAAATTCATATATAATTCTTAATCTTTATAATAAGTGTGTTCATATGTGGCACATCTGGTACTCATACCATATTCTCTAACATTATGTTACTAGGTATGTGATTTATAATATGATCATCCTGTAGATAAACAGTGAATGTAAACAATCAACTTTTATTATTGAGATCATAAAATAATCCATCTTAGTGTCTTTAGAGTAGCTATCAAATCTATCATGCATATAATCTGCTTCCAACTTACTTGTCCATATCAAGCACACA